GAGCACTGCTGCTCAGTCTGCTATTACTATTTTCCCTTTAGACTAATAATAATAACGAATTAAGAAAATGTTATACGGTGAGGTTAGACTGTAGAGCTGCACAGTAAATACAGCAGTAGACACTGGATATTTCTGTAAAATACAGCCATACTATATTATCCTGCTGAATAAACCCAAGACTCGTTTCCTGTTGCTATAAAACTTGACTGGTGTCTGTACTGACTCCTTGGGTCCCACTCTGCTGCTCTGCTGTCTGCACAGTCACTGCTGGGAGAGAGTTTTTCTTCTCCACAGGCGCCAAAGTGCTTGCTCATTGTGAGAACTGTTGGGTTTCTCTATATTAATATGATTTTAAGGTTTTGACCTTCTATGTAAAGTGCCTTGAGATAATGTATATTATGATTCGGCGCTATACGAATAAAATTGAATTGAATTGCTGATAAATAGATGTGGAATATAACAGCATTTAGATTTTTCTGGACTCTAAAGGTACAGTGTGTATAATTTTGTGATATCTAGTGTTGAAGTTGCATGTTGCAGCTGAACACCCCTCACGTCGTCCTCCCCTTCCAATGTAAAAAAATCTGTTAGCTTCAGTTGGGATAAAAACTCAATAGTTGTTTAGTTTGTCCAGTCTGGACTAATGTAAAAAACATGGCGGCCTCCGTAGAGAGGGTCCCCTCAATGTAAATATAAAGTATTTAAATATAAAGGACCTTTTCTGGGGTAAAGAACACTACAATTCATACAATTTAGATGAAACAAACTAGTGCAAACATCATGAGGATTATTCTACATTAAATTTCTGCCAATAGTTCCCTTTCACCTAAATCTTACACACTGGGCCTTTAAGTTAATCTTTTTTATTTTTTTAACTTTTATAGAATACTGTATCAGATGAAAAGACATGTATCATTAAAGATAAGGAATAAGAAAGAAATTAATAACATAAAGCTTAGAAATTAGAATTTCGATATTCGTTTGTTTTTCACGTAAATTAATGAAGGGCCGCTAATGGCTGGCTCAGTGTTTAAATGATGATAAAGACACAAACAGATGAACACTAAGCAAGTGGGGGAGCTTGGGGAGCAAACCAAACACAGCTCCAACAGCCCAATTTGTGTAGTGGCTCAATAGCGTAAAAGTCCAGATGGCCACGCCATCATCAGTGTCAGATAACGAAGATTAGACTAAATGCTGTGCATAGCCTTTTAGATATTGGATGTTACGTGAATGTTGTGGTTACATGGTATTATTGTTGTAACACTGCCACCAGGACACAGTGGAAAATGTGCCTAGAAAGATGAATATCTGCTCAGAGGTCATTAAGAACATCTGTCGTGGCAGTCTTTACATCACAGATTTATGACTTTTCATTTAACCGCTACAGTCTGTCTGAGTCTCCCTTCGTTTCCACTTACTAAGGTTGGGTCGACACATCGATGTAATCAATGTCTTCGATTATGTAAATACATAAATTACTTAAAAAAATAAAAATAAACATTGTTGAAATACTATTTAATTTTCCTTTATTTATGTTATCTGACAGTCAGTTTTTTACCTTATATAGACATCAATACAACTACTAGGCTGCTTCAAAATATATTTTTATTGGACAGCTTAATGTAGATGGATTCATTCCTTTTACTTTAATGGAACTTGCAGTAAGTTTATGTTGGATGGAATTTGTATAAATACAGCATTAGCAGTTTAGACTTGGCTATCTTTTGTTGTAGAATAATGCCTTGCAGAGCATACTGAGATGAGATGATACTGAAAGATGATTAAATATATATAAACAATACAAGTTTTAGAATTATATTTTCGATAAATTATTATATTAATCTAGTTGTAAAAATTATCAGTAGATTAATCGAAAAATGTATTGTTAGATTCATCGATTTATCGAAGGTGCAGCCCTACCACTTACACTCAAACACACATTTGTGGCCTTTAACTGCACATTTCGGGCATGTGCTTTCATGAACAGAAGTGCAGATGGGTAAAACCTTTCAATTGTTTCATGTTGAAAATGAAATAAAATGAAATCACTGACACTGGAAGGGGCCAGTCATTGTTGCTGATTTCATCCTGTAAGAGTTGTGCCACTATTGGTATGTACTGTATAATAACCAACAACAAATTTCTGTAGAGAAATACCAAACATGTGTTTGAGGTAATTTATTGAGGTTTTCACTTCAGAGAGAACTTACAAGTCAATTTATGCCAGGAGCCGTAAACTCACATTACCGAGGGGACACCTATTTTAGGTCATGAGCAGGTCAGACTTTTATTCTGAAAGGCAGGTTTAGCTTGCTAACAGGCCAGAGATACACTTGTTTACACTTGAATTCCCTTTAATGTTTTGTATGATGTTAAACTTATCAAATAATTATTTCAAATGCTCTAGTGGTGACTCATGTTAGTTTTAGAACTGCCTTGCATGCGGCTCATTGGCTGCCCTTGGCAACCAGGTGCTCATGTGCATGGTGTTGGCTACCACTGATAATGAACAACTGTGTGATGCAAACAATACATGGGGGCACATATATTATCAGCTCGGATGACTGGTGGACAAAACATGCTATCACAAGCAGTTAAACGCAGTTCTGTATCCAGCCTATACAAGAATGGCTAAATCATTTTATTTTGCAGCCGTGTCATCACTATGAAATGAAACAAATGAGATTAAACAATTTGTTGACCAGATGCAGCAACAAACTCAAAACCGCCCTGTCTGCGATACTTCAGTAATCAGTTAATGTTGCTGTACTGGCAGAACGAATGGATAATAAAAGATATATGCTAGCATATCTTGAACTGTTTTAAATAAAATAAAGAACTGTAAGTCAAACTGCAATCATCACTTTTATCAATGAGTCATAGTGCTGAATTAACCTGCATCAGTAACGTCCTCACCATGAACAACTGACATGTAGAGTTTCAGGTTTTAGTTGCCCTTGTTAAATGATGCCTGGCCTCTATAGAATAAAATGATGAGGGTTATGTCAACAGGTTACACTGGACACTAAATGGCTCTTAATGTGACCTTCAACAAATGACAGCAGAATGAAGCAGTGACAGTACCTACTGTATTTTCATTTATTGTTCGAGAATTTCAAGGCTGCAACCTTTACACAGCTTTAAACACACGATCGTCACATCTGTCGTTACTTTCTGCACTGATTCAGATGCAGGATTGAAGGAATCAATGTAGATAAACTCTTGTCACTCACATACACACAACCTGTCTAAATTTATTATGACATGGAGGTAAACAACGTTTGCTATCACAATAACAGAGAATGGCTCTGCCAAACCTGAGTAATACAGCACTTTAGATATTATTTAGCACAAGAGCAATTACTTTACGTGATGAGATTTTTACGGCCATTGTGGGGAATAAAAACTCCGGGTTGGAAAGGTGATTTTGGGACTGCCTGCTGGGGGCCATGGAAAGACAGGCTGGGTGGTGACTGGATGCAGCCTAGCCACAGGTGGTCTGTAATTCTGCACCATAATTGCCTGGAATAGTGTATTATGGGTCTTCGGACCACTCATCCACTCCGTAGGGGTGGACAAGAAAAAAGGATGAGTGAGGCGGAAAAATAGGATGGATAACACGATGTCCCGCCGTGAGACGATTCTGCCAGACACTTACAATACGTCGAGGGAGTATTGTTATTGTGTGAATTCAAAGAACATTTTCTGTGAACGCTATTAAGCCACACTAATGAAAATGATGGTCGCAAATGGAGCGATAATCTCCGATTCAATTGGAGAGTGATTGTGTTTTAAAGACAGGTGCAACAGTCGTTTTCTGCTCTTTGAATCGAGCAGAGGTTGTCAGTGTGTGGTTCTGGACCAAGAAAGGGGGCATCTTTTCTCTTCTCTTGTATTTACAGGCCAGAAAAAAGTTGCCAGAGTTCAGGGGCAGGACCTCTGGAGTGATTTGTTCAGCGCTTGGTTCTGGGGCACTTATGCTTCTGGTCTGCGTCTCCTTAGATGCAGTTACTGTTAGATCCAGAAGGCTCGTTACGAAGTGAGGACAAAATACATCTGTATCAACTCGAACAGTCAACTTCGATGGGTGCCTGCATTTAATCATTGTTCAAACGCAAATGTCAAATATAATCTGGTTTCGCCCTCTGACGATCTGCTGTGATAGTTCAGGGGTTGTTATTCTCTTCTTGTTTCCTCATATGATCCCAGGTGTTTGTACTGTATATGTGGGCAGATCCCAGATCAGTTCAAATGTGATTGTCTACAGCTGCTTACTGACTTCTGGTCGATCGAATCAACCTTTGACCTCTGCCTCTTCTCTATGTAACCTCACCACTGTTCACACTAGCTGTCTCTGAATTCAAGGGGTGTGTCCTTCAGAGGAAATGGTCTTAGCAGCCCATGAAGGAGGTGGTGTTCGTGGTACAGGTGAACCACATCCTCTGAAGGAGACTCAACCTAAAGCTGCTTTCAGACATGCCCTGAACTCAGGAGATTCTCTGCACGTTCTCTGGAAGATGTGCATGTGTGAATGTCGGAGTTAGAGCCTCTGGATTATCTGTGGACTTTACTGGCCTGCCCCCGAGTATAAAGTCTGCAGAAAGTCAGGAAATCCAATGTGTGAACACAGTGGGGGATTCACCACAAGCGCTTTTACTGGCTGCATTTGAAGGATCCTTCGAAATGGGACAGTCTTGTTATGCCACTGTGATGCAACTGATCTTCAAATGCAGCCTGTGAAGGATATAGCTCCTGATTTGAGACACAGCTACTGTCTTATTTTTTCATAGACAACTCTTCTGCTGGTAACAACTTGAATTTCTCCTGCAGAATTGTTAAACTGACTTACAAATTTGATTTATATCTAAAAATCTGTGAGCATTGCTTTTCAAGCTCAAAAATCTTTCTGACCCTAATTTGAGCCGATGCAATGGAGCTTAACAAAATAAAACTGTGGTGCTTAACTGTGACATGAATGTTTTTGTCTTTCTCTACAGATGCCATGGCCAATCCTTCTCCAGCAAAGAGCATGGGCGACCCAGGAATCACTCCACTGTCTCCCTCGCACACTCAGGTGACTTGGATGCTCATTGTTTCAGTAGTTACTTCACCTGGCCTGGCTGTCTCACAGAATAGTTTGTCAGCATATTTTTCAATAACGTGCATCATGTTATAATTTTAATATATTATATATCATATACCATATTAGTGTGAACAAACAGTGAAAGGCCTGTTTGCTATTCACTTTTTGTGCTGTTTGTAGTTGAGCATTAAAGACGGAGGATGTCACACTTTGATTTGAGAATTCTAATCTCTTCATTACATTGTTCCAAGTAGCAGGAATGAGGCTTACATGTTATGTCCGTGCTGCTGTGTAGTTTTATTTCTGAGTTTAATTGTATAACTGTGAAGACTCCCAGTCACCCAGGTCATGGTGTCTTCAAGTTTCAGTTCCACGTCTGCACCTGTAACTGAACCTGTTTGTGTTTCTTCAAACTCTGAATCCATTGTTGTACTTCTGTGCTCACTTATGTTGCTGTTGTGATTGTGAATTGGTTCGTTCCAACTCAAATTCAGTGTATGTGTGTGTTTGCGTGTCTCACCACATGTCCCGTCACATTGTCTCTGTACAGCAGAACGACACAGACCAGGTGCAGTCACAGCTGTCCTTTGTGGTGGTGGTTGCCATTGACTTTGGCACCACATCCAGCGGTTATGCTTACGCCTTCACTAAGGAGCCAGAGTGCATTCACACCATGAGGTAAGCCTGCAATGCAGATGCTCAAAGTCAACACAATGTTATTTTGTTACACGGCTCACATATCCAGAGTAAAAACATCCAGGATATTATTTCAATATCTTAAAACATACCACCAAAAGGATCTGTCTTAAATCAAATCGCACACATTCAAGCTGTTGTATGTTTTCTCCTACTGGAAACCCTGTCATATATTTTCACCTCCTATGAAAGTGTACACTCTCTGGTGAGGCCTACCTCCCTCTTGGAAAACCCATACTTAAACTCATAGTATTCTGTAGTTGAAGTGGAGACATTGTCCTCAGGGTCTTTATTGGCAGGTCTGGGTATGGGACAATATCCTCTCTTGTAGTGGAATTAATTTAGTTATCCAACTGTGACGGCCTTGCTTTGCTTTAGAGGAATACCTGTCACAGTCCAATTCTACAATGACATGGTGGTAACAGCTCAAACTTCTATGTACTCTTGGTTAACATTTATTTGAATTGACATGGCCACAAATGAAGTGGAGTAAGCAGCCTTATGATGCACCAAGAGGCCATCAGTGATGTCAGTTTATACAGTTGTGGAAAGGAGAAAAACCTTCAGGCTAACTTAACCTTACAAGTCTCTGCCTTGGATGAAAATGCACTTGATATGCCTCAAACAATACGACCCAAGCCGTACTGACCTTTGTGGTCCAACCAGTCGCTGTTGACCACTGTTCAAACAATAAATAAAGTAATCAGGCAACTGGTGTTTCTGATTTCCCAGAACTATACAGAATTTAATTAGCCTTGTATCAAGGACAACATGATGGAGCTTCCAGGTTTGTTACAGAAACACTGCTGGAGTCTCTAATATGTAGCAATATAATGCTAGCAGCATTAATATTTATACTACTATGGCACCTGGAGTTTGGAAACAGAGTGAAGCTCAGGCTGCAATTTTCTGTCCAAATCCAACTGAGCCCAGAGAGAAAACGTATGACCTAAACACGACAGGCATTCTGTTTTTACCCGACCTGAGCCTGATGCAGTTAATGTTAGCTGCAGTGATTTTCACTGTCCCTGGTACACATGTTTATTGTTGTTTTAATTGATTACAGACATTTGCAGTGTTGTATCATACATAAATTCTATTTATGGCAAACCAAATACAGAACTGAAATTCCTTCAAAGCAGGAACAGTGATTTGTTTTAACACACACATTATGCAATTTAATTAGCAGCTATAAATCTACAGTTTTATCATTGATGAATATATGGTCTTAATCTTCACTTCTTGAACTCAACTGCAACTGCTGTTAACAGAATTATTTACATAATCCAACCATTGTGGTTTATTTGGAGTTGTTGTGTTTAGGTGTTGTAAATAACATATCCTAGCACCAAAGCTCCAACATAGAAAGAGGGTCAATCAGTTTGATTCATTTTCACACAATATTTTCACTAAATGAACATGAAAGCACCATGTCAAGTAGATCTGCCCAGACATTGTACAATTTTGTCCTAATCCAGTATCAACACTCTTATTTTGGAATTATAAGCACTGCACTAACAAAACAAAACCCCTTGTTTTCTGATGTGAGCACTGTAATATTATTAAACTGAACCACATGATCACACAGTGCAGCAATAGTGTTTCGGTGATTTGCGTGACTGCAGTAAAATGTTCAGTTTGTGGGGTGGTCTAAGAGGTTTTGCTGAATAAAAATTCTAAGCCTCTTGAAATCTCATGTATTAACATCCCATAAATGTTCCCTCATTTCTGCACATAAAGGTCCAATCAGTAATCTCAACCAATGAGATTATTTCTGCCCCTGGAGCAGCTCTGTGTACGAACAAGGTTTAACTGACTTAAACTGCATCTATATTCATTACAACAGAGTTAAACAGCAGAACATCCCTAAACTCTCACACACACACACACACACACACAC